GTGTTTTGCACAGCGTTTTTTCTGTATGGTGTTTTCCACAACATTTTCTTCTGTATGGTGTTTCTCACAGCCTTTTTGGTGTTGCAGTTTGTCCACAGCATTTTTCCCCATAGCATTTTTTTCTTCATGGTGTTTTGGTGTCGCATTTTTGGCGTCGCATTTTTTGTGTTGCACCTTTGGTATCTCATTTTCGGTGCCGCATCTTTGTCGCATTTTTGGTGTCCCTTTTTTTTTTTTTTTTGTGCCGCACTTTTTGGTGTCACATTTTTGGCGTCGCATTTTTTGTGTTGCACCTTTGGTATCTCATTTTCGGTGCCGCATCTTTGTCGCATTTTTGGTGTCCCTTTTTTTTTTTTTTGGTGCCGCATTTTTTGGCGTCACATTTTTTGGTGCCGCTTCTTTGGTGTAGCATCTTTGCCTCATTTTCGGCGTCGCGTTTTTGGCGCTGCATTTTTTGGCGTCGTATTTTTGGCGTAGCTTTTTCGGCGCAGCACCTTTGTTGCTTTTTTTCTGTTGCTTTTTTGGTGTCACGTCTTTGATGTCGCACCTTCGGCGTCGCCTTTTCGGTGTTGGCGTTTCTTCCACGGCCTTTTTTTCCCGCACGGTGTTTCACACGCCATTCCCCACAGCCAGAGCCCCCAGCCCCTGTCACAGCCCCTCCATCCCCTCCCCAGGACCGGCGGCCGGAGGCAGAGGGCAGAGCCGGCTCCTGGCGCCCGGGGAACCCCTACTGCTCCCCGGTGCTGGTGCGCAAGAAAGCCATTCGCAGCAAAGTGCTGCGCTCGGGGGCCTACCGGGACTGCGGGGCCGAGGGGCAGCTCCACCAGCCGCCCCGCGACGCCGGTGAGTGGCACAGGGAAAGCGAGGCAGGGGGGCACCCGCGACCCCGGCATCGGGGGGCTTTGGGGGCAAAGAGAGGATTAACGGGCTCCCGCAGCGGCGGCGGGATGGGAGAGCAAAGGCGCGCGGAGCTTGGCCCTCCTGCCCGAGAACGAGAGCGTCCTGGCCGAGAGCGTGTGGGCCTTCGCCGGCATCGCCAGGTGAGTGCGCGGGGGCCGCCCTGAGCCCCCTGCGCCCACCCCGCCGCCCCTCACCCCCTGTGCCCACGCCCTGTGCCCACGCCCTGTGCCCACCCCCTGTGCCCACGCCCTGTGCCCACGCCCTGTGCCCACCCCCTGTGCCCACCCCCTGTGCCCACCCGCCGCCTCGTCCCCAGGGACGCGGGGGTCGCGCTGCTCCGGCGGGACGTGCCCGGAGCCTTCCTGCTGCGCCCCGAGCCCGGGCTGCCCAAGCGCTGGTGCCTGTGGGTGCGGGCGCCCTGCGGCGTCGTGTCCTACGGCCTCCTCAGGACACACCAGGGCAGGTTCTGCGTGGAGGTGAGCCGGGGGCAGCGGGTGAGGGTGGGTTGGGTGCACGAGTGTGTTTGCTGCGGGGCTGCAGCAGTGCGGGGCCGCACCTGGGTAAGTGCACGTGACGTGTCTTGTGGGGGTGCACTGGGGTTAAAGGGCATTTTCTGCATCTGTGCATTGGTGCCCTGGGGTATTGGTGCGTCTGTGCACGGCTGCAGGGGAGTGTATGAGGGCACTGGGTGCCCCTGTGCATGGATGCACCAATGTGTACAAGCATCTGGTGTGCCTGTGCTTGGATTCATTGGTGTGTTGGCATTTGGATGCACTGGTATATATGTGCATTTGACACACCGTGTAGGTGCATTGAACACCACCGTGTAGGTGCATTGAACCACCCGTGCAGGGATGCCCTGGGGCTATAAGTGCCTTTGGTGCATTTGTGCACTGATGCACTGGTGTGTTGGTGCATCAGGACATGGATGCACCAGTGTGTGAGTGCATTGGGTGTGTCTGTGCATGGATACACTGGTGTGAACAAGCACTGGATGCATTAGTGCATGGATGCCCTGGTGTGTCAGTGCATCTGTGCATGGATGCACTGGCACATTGGGACATGGATACAGTCGGGACATGGATGCACTGGTGTGTCCATGCATTTGATGCCCCATGCAAGTGCATTTGGTCCATCTGTCCATGATGAACTGGTGCCTTGGTGCAGGGATGCACGTGGGTGTAAGGGCATCAGTGCTCAGGGGCACCTGTGTGGGGTGCACAGGGGTGTCAGGGCATGGGCAAGTTGGTTTGTGGGCGCACTGGGGCACGGGTGCATCTGTGCAAGGCACACAGGTACCCACAGGTGTGGGTGCACCTGTGTATCCACACTTTGGTGTGTAAATACATCCAATTCATGGGTGCCTGAGTACATCTGTGCACGGGTACGTGGTGCACAGGTGGATGGGTGTGTCTGACTCACAGCCCTACAGGCCTTTGGTCTGTGGGTGTATCAGTGCACAGGGGCAGCTGTGTGTGCACACATGGGGCACAGGTACACCAGTATACACGTGCACAGGGGCAGGGGGGGCACGGCTCTATTTGACTCATGTGCCCAGGACATGGGTGCCTTGGGTCTGTGGGTACCTGCTGCACAATCATGGGGGGATGTCCCGGGTCTGTGGGTACCTGCTGCACAATCACGGGGGGATGTCCCGGGTCTGTGGATATCTGCTGCACAGGCACAGGTCTGTGTTTGGGGTGTGAGTGTGCTCGTGCACGGGTACAGAGGTATTTGGTGTGGGGTACATTCAGTCCAGGGGTGCAGAGCCGCGTGGGCACACAGGCTCGTGGGCATCCCTGCACGGCCCTCACGGGGGGCTCACCTCTCCCCTCTGCCCTCTCTCCCGCTCCGGTGCCGACGGCAGCACTCCAACGCCGAGTTCGCCAGTGTGGCCGCCCTCTTGGCTCACTACTCGGCGGCGCCGGGGGGCTGCTTCTGCCGCCTGGCCCCCGGCCACCGCAACCCCGGCTACGAGGAGCGGGACCCCGGCGGCGGGGCCGGCGCCTGCGGGGGGGAGTCCGCCTGGGCCCCCTCTGCCCCCATCGGGGTGCAGCATGAGCGAGGGTAGGCCCGGCCCCCTCTCCCCGTGCACGGCTGCCCCCCGGCCCCCCCGAGCTTTAACTGGCTGCCATCTGCCTTATCCATCCCTCCCTCCCGCGGGCTGCGCGCGCTGTCCGGCAATAAACGGCTCTTGTGCATCCGGACGGGGCTCTGCTGGCTGCTCACGCTCGGCCCGCGCTGCGCGGTGTCGCACGCCCGTGTGCCCACACGTGTGCACCCTCGGGAGCTCACACCCGTGCACTCGCAGCCCCTGCACGCTCGCGTGATGCACCCACACGCTTGCACGACTGCAGCGGGTGTTTGTGCTCGTGCTGTCACACCCCGTGTGCCCGCACACTTGCACTCCCACAGGCGTGCGAGCTCAGCCCCTCGCGCCCTCGCAGCCTCACGCACTGCTGCAGCCGTGCACTCACACGCACTTGTGGTGGCACACGCAGGTTCTCGCCCTCGCGGGGGCCACGCCCGTGCACCGGCACAGCCGGAGACCAGGACCACCACACGCTCACGGCCCCACGCACCTGGATCCCACACAGGGGTGCCCCTGTGCGCTGTGTCGTGCACACGTGTCCTCGTGCACCTCCCCTCGCACATGAGTGCCCTTGTGCCCCCCTTACATATGCCCCCGTGCACCCCCTCTTGCACGCCTGCCCTCGTGCCCACCCCTTGCACACGCGGGCACGCACCCTCATGTCCCCCTTGCACACGTGCACGTGTGCCCTTGCTCTTCCCTCACCCCTCGGGACCCTCAGCCCACCAGACCCCCTCGGAGTCCCCTGTGCTCCCTCGGACCTGCCGGGCACCGGCATCTCATTTTCCCTTGCTCAGCCCCCCTTCGGCTTGTCCCAGCTCCCAAAAGTTGCCCCAGGGTTTCCTGCCCTCAGGGTTTCCCCTCACAGACCCCCTCAGGTTTCCCTTCCTGACCTGCCCTAGTCCCCTCTCAGGTTTGTTGCCAGTTTCCCCCTTTCCCTCCATCCCTCCCCAGCTCTTTCCCTCCATGCTCTCTCCTTCTCCCCCAGCCCCCCGGCTCGGGGGACCTTTTTCCCCTGCATGTCCCCAGCGAGGGGTGAGCGCTCCCACCCACCGAGGGGAGCAGACCCCGCCTTTGGGTTGCCCCAACCTTCCCCCACCCACCGGTGCTCCCCAGCCCGGCCGAGCAAGCGCTTGTGGGGCCAAGCCGGGAGTGTGGAGGGAACCGGGCGTGTGGGACTGACCCCACCGTGAGGGGCTGGTCCGGGTGTGTGGGAATGATCGATCCGGGGGGGGGCTGATCGGGGTATGTGGGGTGTCCCGGGTGTGTGGGGATGAGCAGGGTGTTGGGCTGACCCAGATATGTGGGGCTGACCTGGTGGGGGGGTGACCTGGGTTATGTGTGGCTGATCTGGGTGTATGTAAGGTGAGCCAGGTGTGTGGGGCTGACCTGGGTGTGTAGAGTCACACGTGTGTGTGGAGCTGACCCTGGTATGTGTGGGATGATCCAAGTGTGTGGGGCCAACCTGGGTGTGAGGGGCTGATTGGGTTGTGTGAGTCTGACCTGGGTGTGTGGGTCTGACCAGCGTGTGGGGGGTGACCCTGGTGTCTGTGTAAGATGAGCCAGGGATATGGTGTGACCCAGGTGTGTGTGTGGCTGACCATGGTGTGTGGGGTGACACAGGTGTGTGGAGTGACCCGGGTGTGTGGGGTGAGCGGGGCGCTGGCCGGGGGGTGGTGAAGGTGGCTGTTCACTGCTGGGCCCTGAGCAAGCACGAGGCAGCCCTGGGGGTGCTGGACGATTGTCAGCGTGGGCAGCACAGGGCTGGTGCCTCCTCTGAACCCCACGGCCCCGGAGAGCCCCCAGAGAGCTCCCCTTTGACGGGGCGTTCAGCCTGGAGCACAGCACCAGACACAGAACTGGGCACAGCACCAAGCACAGAACTGAGCACGGAACTGAGCAAAGCACTGGGCACAGCACAGAGCAAGAACAGCACTGAGCACAGCACCAACCACAGCACCAACCACAGCACCACCCCCAGCACCAGGCACAGCACCACCCCCAGCACCAGGCACAGCTACAGCGACATCACTGACCCGCTCCTGCAGGTGAGTGGGCACCCAGGCAAACACCATGCACCCAGCACTGGGGGCAGTTTTGGGCACCACGAAGATATTATTAGAGAGTGTCCAAAGGAGGCTACAGAGATGGTGAAGGGCCTTGAGGGGAAGCCATACGAGGAGTGGCTGAGGGCACTGGGTTTGTTCAGCCTGGAGAAAAGGAGCCTGAGGGCAGAGCTCATCAGGGTCTGCAGCTTCCTCACAATGGGCAACACCAATCTCTGCTCCCTGTGCCCAGTGACAGGATCCAAGGAATGGCTGGAGCTGTGTCAGGGAGGTTTAGGTTGGATATCAGGAAAAGGAGTGATTGCTCCTCTCCCCAGAGGGTGGTTGGCACTGACCAGGCTCCCCAGGGCAGTGGGCACAGCCCCAAGGCTTCCAGAGCTCCAGGAGAGTTTGGACAAAGCTCTCAGGGACAGGGTGGGATTGTTGGGGTGCCTGTGCAGGGCCAGAGGCTGGACTGGATGCTCCTTGTGGGTCACTTCCAGCTCAGGATATTCTGTGATTCTGTGGACACGTGGCTGGGGAC